CAAAAAAGCAGGATCTGGCCTTCTAAAGAGAAGTCAGGGTTGATCTCCTCTAGGACTGACCAGTTTGATTGCCTTGCAGTCCAAGGGACTCTCAAGAGTCTTCTCCAGCACCATAGTTCAAAGGCCTCAATTCTTTACCTCTCAGCCTTCCTTATGGTCCCACTTTCACAGCCATACATTGCAACTGGGAAACTATAGGCTTGGCAGGGTGATGTCTCCTGCTTTTTTGTATGCTGTCTAGATTTGCCATAGCTTTCCTCCCCAGGAGCAAGCGTGTTTTAATTTTTTGGCTGCAGTCCCCATTTGCAGTGAGCCCAGGAAAATAAAATCTGTCACTACCTCCATTTCTTCCACATCTATTTGCCAGGAATTGAGAGGGCCAGATGCCATTATCTTAGTTTTCTTAATGTTGAGTTCCAAGTCAATTTTTGCACTATATATTTTGCAAGGACTCTTATATATCCTTTGAGACCATACTGACGCCCATGCAGCCTAACTCCAGTTTCCTTGTTCATATAGCTGTACTATTTCCATCCAGACTTAAATTATCGAAATAAACAATCTCAGTGGATTCCACTTCTAATATGTTTAACTTACTGTTTAATGAAATTGCAATAAACTTCCCTTTTAAAAACCTGGCAGTTCATGTTTTATGATCTTTAAGATAGAGGTATATGGGTAGTCTCGCAAATTATAACCCTTTGTTCAGTAACTGTTTTAAATTACATTGGTGCCCAACGAAGGAACAAAGCAGTCACATAATGTCTCACTTAATGGCCACTTTGCTCAACAACTGAACAATTCAACAATTCAACAATTGTGAACGTAGCTCAGGGATTATGTGCACTGCAAAAAAGCTGCTATCGTTATATCTATTTTTCTTAGCATAATACTCTGAGATCATGATCCTCAGAATGTTCCTTTCCAAGTGCATTCAGCTGCTGCAAATCATTAAGAATAACCAAAGGGTTGCAATAACCAGTAAAAATTGGGGAAAGTGTGGTAGACGTCTTGCGAGCTCAGGATCACAGTGCAATTAATTAAAGGGTGAACTGGAGGAGAATAAAATGATGTTGTGGCAGCTCTTTAAAGCAGAAACACCTTTTTTCCAGGATCATGGAAAAGGAAGCCAGAAGAAAGTTGGGTTACTTTAATGCAGTGTTTCTTAATCTTGGCAACTTTAAAACCTGTGGACTTCAACTTCCAGAATTCCCCAGCCAACCAGTCCTCAGGTCTTAAAGTTGCTAAGGATGAGAAACGCTGCTTTAATGGATGGCATAGAGGTGCTGTCCTTGGGCAACTTCTAAATGCCCTACCAAAGACATTTTGTGATATTATAAGATGTCTCTCTCTCTGTCTCTCTGTCTCTCTCTCCCACCCCCTCTACCTACTTACCTACTGTATTTCTCTCTCTCTATTTCTTTCTTTCTCTCTCTCTCCCTCCCTACCTACCTACCTACCTACACACACAGTCCCTATCTACCTACTATTTCTCTCTCTCTCCCTCTCCCTCCCTCTCTCTCTCTTTCTTTCCCTGTCTGTCTCTCTGTTTCTGTCTCTTTCTTCACCTGACCTAAGATGTGGAAGTTTTAGGGAAAAAAGGTGGGGCATTGCTTTTTGAGGAATTCTGGGAGTCCATCCAACCGTACAATGAACAAACTGGGGAAACGTTTCTCTACTGCAGGGGTGTCAGACTCGTGGGCCATGGGCCGCATGCATCACATGCTGGGCTCACTCCCGCCCCTAAAAGCGAAGGGAAAAAGTCCCAATACATCACCTGACGCTGGCATGACAATGCAAGTTTGACACCCCTGCTCTACTATCTCTGTCTCTTATATGTCTTGAGGTTGAACTGGATGGGGTAGTAAATTTTCCACTGTGATGTCACCCTGATGTGCATTATTTGGTAGTTTTTCTTTCTTATCAACAGGAAACAATTTCAACAATTTCAGGATCAATCCCAGCAATGGGCTGGTCATGCGGGGTACACGACCCCTGGATAGAGAACAAAATTCATCCCATGTTCTTGAAGTGGAGGCTTACAACAGTGAGCAAGGACCAATGAGAAGTTCTGTCAGGGTAAAGTCTTTTCTCAAAATGCTAGAAATAAGTTATCCTTTTCCGGCTGTGGCCCCTTTGAACTAATGCCATCAATAATGTTCACCTAATGGTATCATGAATTGAATGTTGTCTAGAGCAGAGATGTCAAACTCACAGCGTCATTTTGTCATCACATGACGTATCGTGACTTCCCCCCCTTGCTAAAATGCGGGTGGGAGTGACCAGCGTGTGATGCATCCAGCTGCGGGCCATGAGTTTGACACCCCTGGTCTATGAATATTTTGTTATTGTTTTATATTCTATATTTCCTTTCTATGTTGCACAGTGTGCTTTCTAGGTATCCATGGTGTTAACATACAAGCATACAAACACCATCATCGTCATTATGATCATATATATGTATGTGTGTGTGTGTGTGTGTGTGTATGCATGCATGCATGTCACAACCCCTGGTATGCCCAAATATGGGAGTAAGCATACTGCTTCCTTTCTCTGTCTATAAGCTCATCACAAGAGACCATCCAGACAGAAAGCCATTATTTTTACTGTTGCCTGTGTTACATTTGTGTTGCATTTGTGCTGATAAATAAATAAAGGGAGACTAGTCTCCCTTTATTTATTTATCAGCACAAATGCAACATATATATAAATAAACAAATATGCGGTAATACATAAACAAATATGTGATAATATCAATCATATTCCAATATATTATCTTCCATTGTAATATTGATTATATAACCGTTTCTTTCTCCTATAAACCATATTTCATTTAATTCCATTACTCTAACCTCAATATCTATCATTTAACCAGTTATAGAATAGTTCCCATGTTATGAAATAGTCCAAACCTCCTTTTCCTTTAATTTTTAGAGTTAACTTATCCATCTCTGCACATTCCAGAATTTTTTTGATTATAATATCATCTTGCAGGGATTTCTAGGTTTTTCCATCATTATGCATATGCGATCCTATGTGCTGTTAGGATGTGTAGAACCAAATATGTATTGCCCTTATTATAATTTCCTTGAAGCATGCCCAACAAAAATGTCTCAGGTTTCAGATCTATTTGTTGTCTCATCTTATTTTCCAGCCATGGATATATTTTCTTCCAGTATTTTTTGGCTTTGGAGCCTGTCCACCACATGACACCCCTGGCCTAGAGGAATTGCATTCCAACTGGTGTTAAGAATGAAAATGAATGAAAACACCATTCTCAACACCAAGGTTTTTGCTTATAATAGAGAATTCTGCAGACTGCTATATCAGATTTACTCGTAGTTTAGTAACAATGCATGCAATACATGAAATCTTCCATAGTGGATATTATTGAAGGAAATTATTAAATTTCACACACACGGCTAATCTTCTCAGGTAGCTGCGGTGAGTTGAGCAGGCAAGGTGCAGCAATCAACTGGCCTGCGTGGGTGGGAAACAAAGTCAAAGAGTGAGATAAATAGGCCAGGGCAGGTGAGCAGACCCAGCCAGTGGTCAGAACTACCGGTTTGCCTGAACTGGTCTAACCAGGCAGCAATCCACGTCTGCTTATGACTCTTTTTCACACTTATGACCGTTGCAACATCCCCATGGTCATATGATCATAATTCAGACACTTTGCAATTGGCATGGATTTATGACAGTTGCAGTGTCCTAAAGTCATGCGATCACCTTTTGTGACTGCTTGGCAAGCAAATTCAATGGGGAAGCCAGATTCACTTAACAGCCATGCTATAACTTAACAATTGCAGTGATTCATTTAACAACTGTAGCAAGAAAGGTGATAAAATGGGGTAAAATTCACTTAACAACTGTCTTGCTTGGCAATGGAAATTTTGGGCTCAGTTGGGGTCGTAAGTCGAGAACTACCTGTAGGGTAGGTCACTTTTTTTTATCTCACATTCATTGTAAAAACAAAATGAGATAATAAGTACCCTGTTTCCCTGAAAATAAGACCTCCCCAGATAATAAGCCCAAACGGGCTTTTGAGTACATGAGCTAAAATAAGCCCTCCCTCCAAAATAAGCCCTCCCTGAAAATATTGCAACACAGCAGCAGCCAAGAGGTGACCACGCTTGCCGCCTCCTACACCTCAAAAATCACAAGACCTCCCTGAAAATAAGACCAAGTGCTTATTTGGGGGGTCAAAAGAAAATAAGACCCTGTCTTATTTTTGGGGAAACACAGGAGCTACTGAGTAGATGCTGAGTACCTACGACTCGGGTTCAAAGTCAATATGTTTTGAGGAGGATGTAATCGTAGGGCTCTTTCAAATTCTTTTGCTCCTCCTGCTCACCTATTTAAATCAACAGATGTCCTATGTATTGTATCTGTTAACATTTTTTGAATTAAAACAATACTTCATTCCAAATAGATATGGCTGCAGATAAATACGGCTTAACAAGTACTAACAGAGAGCCAGCCTCATCTAATAGAATATGTTGCTCAAATAGATTGCACATTCATACCAATGATGCATTTGGGAGTCTCTTTATTTATGCTCAATATAGTCAATAATCTTCCAACCCATTTTTCATTATTTCATATGTTTCCTAATTAACAATTCAGTGCCTTGTCAGTGACATTCACTGCTGATAACAGAGTGGTTAGGCGGGATCTAATAAAGTCTTCAGAAAATGCAATGCGTATTCCATTATTCATCATTCGTATTGTTCTGAGAAACATTTTCCTTTTAGAGGATATTAAGGGTGCTTTTCTTTCCTTTGGAGTAACACAGATTGTTGCCGCTAGAAATAGACTTTGATCAACAGGCTACTTCTGATTGTACAGATGGCTGAATTTCTATCTAATTGAATTATTTTTAAAGGGGGGAAAAACCCACGATCCTTGAAGCTTCATTTGTTTTAGATGTGGACGGTTTTGGCTTTGAAGGCAATATTTGTATTGCTGTTCATGGATTCTGTTATTTGTTGGCTGGCTTGAACAATATTTGTGCTATAGCCAGGATTAACCATATACTCCCACTGAGGATATTTGAATGCCCTTGACTTTATTGCAAAGGCCCCCAGCAGCCAGCAGAGCTGGCAGCAGATTCGGACTGGGTATGTCTAGTTTAATGAAAAGGAGGACTAGGGGAGACATGATAACAGTGTTCCAATATTTCAGGGGTTGCCACAAAGAAGAGGGAGTCAAATTATTCTCCAAAGCCTCTGAGGGTAGGACAAGAAGCAATGGGTGGAAACTAATCAAGGAGAGAAGCAACCTAGAACTGAGATGAAATTTCCTGACAGTCAGAACAATTAATCACTACTTGCCTCCAGAAGTTGTAAATGCTCCAACACTGGAAGTTTTTAAGAAGATGGATAACCATTTGCCTGAAGTAGTGTAGGGTTTCCTGCCTAAGCATGGGGTTGGACTAGAAGACCTCCTAGATCCCTTCCAACTCTGTTATTCTATTAATTTTGAAGAAGATGTTTTGGAAACAGCTACCCTGATTATAGGCTGGTTTGTAACTGCATTCTTTTCATCACGCAGCAACCTTGAAATGCCATCTTGGGCAGGCAACCTTCACTTTCTTAACTTTCTCTTTCTCCCCAAGTGTTGCCCCTTCCTCTCACTCTCCCTCCAGTGTTCCTGGCAAGCTGTTACTGAAGTGATTATGAAGAGCAGGCATGAGGGAGCAGTTCTGACACTCCAACTCATGATTTTAAGTAGTCAGAGATTATATATATGGTCCTTTATCTTGGTGTAATGAATACGGATGTTGTTTCTATTTCTTTTCCCCATCAAGGTTCCAGGCAAATAAATTATCTGTATTTTTAACATTTCCCAGGTAATAGTCTATGTGGAAGATGTCAATGATGAACTACCTGTATTTACCCAAAGACAATATAATCGGCTGGGTTTACGAGAGACCGCTGGAATTGGGACATCAGTTGCTGTAGTCCGGGCCACAGATCGTGATACAGGTATAGTTATTACATAGAAGAATTACATTGCTGGTCACTGCAATGCTGTTTGAATAGCCTTTTTTGTTAGTGATCCTGTCCTGATTTATCTTTGGAGGAAAAGTATTAAAGCTTTCTATATGTATGAACCATGTTAGGAGTCCTAAGATGTATATCTTTTTTCAGTTCCTGTAATGTTGAGTAAAATCAACTACATAACCTGTTTCCCCAAAAATAAAACTTCCCCAGATAATAAGCCCAATTGGGCTTTTGAGCGCATGAGCTAAATACCCCCCCAAAAAATAAGCTCTCCTCGAATATATTGCAACACAGCAGCAGCCATGAGGTGACCACGCTCGCCGCTTCCTGCACCTCAAAAATAATAAGACCTCCCCAAAAATAAGACCAAGTGCTTATTTTGGGGGTCAAAATAAAATAAGACCCTATCTTATTTTCTGGGAAACAGATATTGATGAACAGAAAGTGAAAGCTACTTAAAAACTTTCAGATAGCTTCTTTGAATCTAAGCCTCCTGCCAATATCCAATTCCTCATAGGTGTAAAATCAGGAATTTGTGTATATTATTTTATGCGACCCATTCTATAAATATTATCCAACACTGATTAGGGTTAGTCCCCATCCAGAATTATAAGGAAGTCAATGGACCAGTATGTTAATATTTTCATTTGTTATATACTCACTATTTTCTCTTATTTTAAACTGCTGCATGTCCAAATGAAGCTCAGTTTGGAAGATATCTATTTGAATTTTAGGCATAATAGAATAATAGTTGGATAGAACCTTTGAGGTCTTCTAGTCGAACCTCCTGTTAAAACAAGAAACCCTATACCATTTTGGACCAATAGCTGTCCAATCGCTTCTTAAAAGCTTCCAGTGATGGAGAACCCACAACATATAAAGACACAACTGTGGTTAATTGTTCTCACTGTTAGGAAATTTCTTCTTAGTTCTAGGCTGCTTCTCTCCTTGATTAGTTTCCATCCATTGCTTCTTGTCTTGCCTTCTGGTGTTTGGAAAACAGGTTGACCCATGCTTCTTTGTGGCAGCCCCTCAGATACTGGAACACTGCTATTATATCTCTCCTAGTCCTTCTTTTCACTAGACTAGACATACCCAATTCCTGAAAAATTAGCATCTTGCTAATGCTGCCTTAGAAAATCCCGTGTACAATGATGTTCATAATTAAATCTACATTTTCCCCATCATTTTGGGTACCCAGATGCAATTTGAGTCAACATGCTTAATTTGCATACTCATTTAAATGCGCAAAGGATGCACTTTACTTCATTAGCTCAATTGACATAATTTGCAGCATGTGACATCAGTGCACAGCTGACATAGGATGATATAACAAGGGAAATTATGTAAATGTAGAGAAGGAATGCCCTTCCTTAAAGGGTCTATTAAATCAAGACCTTAGAACACGGATAGCAAACTCGCCGCGTCACATTGCTGTCACATGACATTCCCCTTTGTGGAGCTTGGGTGGGCGTGGCCTACGCATGACACATCCGGCCCACGGGTCCCCGGTTTGACCCTCCCTGTTAACTTAAAATATTGTTACAGAGAATAACTATGGGGTAAATTGGAAAAAGAACTATAGATCACCATCTTCTACTTAATTGTTAATTGCAATGTTGTATCTGAATGCCTACATGCACAGTAGATGTGCCAACTTAAAGAGTCTCTCTGCTTCAGTACTTATCTTACAAGGATTTAATTAAAGAGGCGCACTAGCAAACCGGCTCCTCTTCTTTTAAATAATTGGGCTAGTGAACTTCTGCTGCAGGTACTAACTAGCAGTAAAATTAATTTATTTATGGTCAAAGGCCAACGTAATAATAAGAAAAATCACTTAACACCCCAATAAGTTAATTTAATGAGAGCCAAACAATTAATAAAACANGGAGGGAGGGAAGGAAGGAAGGAAGGAAGGAAGGAAGGAAGGAAGGAAGGAAGGAAGGAAGGAAGGAAGGAAGGAAGGAAGGAACGTTTGATGCAAACATAATTAGACTTTTCAAATTTTCCAAGGCTGTCTCTTAAACAGATAAAAAACTCACTGGGAACAGGCAAGGTTAACTCAAGATTTGTTATGAAATAGATTAAACTTGCAGTTCAATTTTTTTAACATAGTAATGGAATAACAGGAGGGCAGAAAGCAAGTTTACAGGATAACGCAGGCTGCAAAGAACACCTAGCATTGTGTTCTAATATTTCATTTCTGTTTCCAATCCCCAGCATCTAAGATGACAAAAAGAGAGAATCTGGATTACCAAAATTAGGCAAAAAGATACCATTGAACAGAAAATTTGCACAGGCATATGGATACATATCAAAACAAATACGTATAAAGCCACTGTACCGGAAACAGCACTCAGCTATAGTGTCTGCATTACTGCCGATCTGTGGGAAATTACTAAATAGACTGAGTAGGGCTTGTTAATGATTGCTTTATCTTTTAATGATTGCTTTATCTTTACATTGGACTAGACCCGTGATGGCGAACCTATGGCATGCGTGCCACAAATGGCACGCGGAGGTCTCTCTGCCGACATGTGAACCCTAGCTGAGCTCCACCAAGCATATGCCGCTGACCAGCTGATTTTCTGGTCTCTGCAAAACACTATACAAACCATCAATATACATTCAACAGGAATAGGAAGTGACTCACAGGAGCAGATAGAGGTAAATCCTAAAGAGGCAGGGAATGCATCACTGAACAATGGAGATGAATGCTAGAGGAATAAAGCTGCACACAAGGGTGACATAACTCCTGTAACAGCGTTGGGGGGGATGCACGGTGTGTGTGTGCCCCCTGCGCCCCATTTTTGGTCCCAGGAGGCTTCAGGGAGGCCTAGCAGGCCACGTGTGGGTACAGTTCCCCCACCCCTTTTTTGGTCCCAGGATGATTCAGGGAGGCCTGCTAGGCCCAAAATGGGGTATGGGGGGGTCTCGCGCACATGCGCAGGGGGCACGTGCACATTGTATTGTGGGTGGGGTAATATGCGCATGCACTTTTAGCACACAAAAACAAAAAGGTTAATCATCACTGGACTAGACAGTCTATCATATAAAGATAAGTCTTTTGTAACATAGCAATCCTATGAGACCATGACACCATACCTCTTAGAGCAAAAGACAACAAAATAGTTCTGTAACACCTTAAAACTAATAATGTCAATTTTTACTGTTTACCTAGTCCTTTTCAGGACTATTTTTTAATCTATTTGTTTATCAAATTTATAAGCCGTTCATTTCACGTTGTGCAGCAACCCTGAACGCCTTACAACAAAACCTATGGAAATAAAAACAATTTTAAAATATAAAAACATAAAAATTACAGATTAAAAACAAGTTAATAAAAACCATGGGTTTCAAGCAGAGAGATCATGGAAACTTCTCCGTTAGAGCGGGGGAAAGGAAAGAGAGGGGGGGGGAATGAGAAGGGCAGAGAGGGGGAGAGAGAGAGGGAGGGAGGGAGGGCTCTTCTGAATCCTACCAACTAAAATTCCTTGGGATCTGGCAATAGCCTTTTTCTGCCAATATGAGTACATTTCACTTGATATATTTATTATCCTCAGCCCCCACTTGTTGTCTGGCATCCAGAGAATGGCATTCTTGAGCAATACTTCCAATGCTATGCACATCAATAACTGCATCTATCTTGTATAGCATTCTATTTGAGAACTACTTGTTTTATTGTTGGGCTATCAAGTCAACTTTGACTTCTGGTGATTGCACTAACAAGGCCATGCAAGGTTCTTGCCATTTGATATGTCCTCCTAGAGAAGAGATTCTAGGCTGGGACATCATATGGCTTTGGACTAATGTATTTTTTTAAAAAAAAAAAACATTCACTTTAGATTCAATTACGTTAAGTCTAGTTAATATGGTGATCTCCACTCATATATTTAATGATTCTTCCAGTATGGTAAAAATTACAACTTGTAACAACAACTTTTGGACGTTTGGGGATTGTGTTCAAGTTTTATGGGAAACAGATATGCCCCAGTTGCTTTGGGTTGTAGATCTCTGTTCTAGATAGTTTCTTCAGCAGACTTTTGTTCCATGAAAAAAATTCTACTGAGAATTCTACTTTTGTTGTTTGTTGGTACAGTAATATTATTGTGAATATTTATATTTACTTTATGCTCTTCAACAGTTGCAAGCCACTCGGAAGATTTTAAATCAAGTGCAGTACCAACATGCTTTTAAATAAAGGTGTTTTTTAATTGCAGTAAAAGAAATGCTGCCAGATGGCATTATAGGATGAACAAATGGCTGCCCACACCATATAACAGAGAGAGAAAGGGAGGGAGGGAGGGAGGGAGAGAAAGGATGCCTCAATATTGGTAGCTGCATCATAATAAATTTTGTTTACCTGAATGCAGCTTTCTCATCATCTTAATTTATCTATATTTTTTCCCATATCATTTGGACCAATAATACATTTTCTTTGGTAATACCCCCTTGAAGAAGAAGTATCAGCCAGCTCTGAGGAACCGAGATGTCTGAAGAAGTACAAAAATAAACATTAGAAAAAACAACAACTCATGCTTGTGAATAGTTACGCTGTTCTGTATTTTGGTTATATAGTATAAAATTTTGTGCCTGTTCTGCAAACGCTTTTTAAAATGCAGCCTTCTCTTTGACCAAGTAATGGGCCTGTCTACATTAGTGCAGGCAGAGCCTTTAGAACTATACATCCACACTGGAAATCCATATTGTTGAAGCTGATTGTAAATGAGATTTATTTCATTGCTAACTTGAGTTAGGAAGAGCACAGGATAGCAAAACCTGACCCAATTCAAACAGAGTAAATCAGAATTTGATTCATTTGGTTTTCATTTAATAACCTGTATTTTTATTGTGATTTTATACGTGTGTTTGCGTGCATGCTTGCAGTGAGACAGTGGCTAAATAAATAAACAAATAAATATTGGTGTGTTCCATGAACCCAGTCAACTGTGATTTTTTTTTTTTTTTAGTAAATCGTGATTAAATAAAATCAATCACTGCTGGATTTATACTTAACCAGGGCCTGTTGAATAAAACATAATTCATTTGGTTTGTACAATATACTAAGTTTAAAAAAAACCCAAGGAAACCCTGATGTGGCTTGCCAGTTACTATACCTACTTGTTCTCCATCTAGTATCAATCCCTACAATTGCCCAGAAAAAGCAGATATGGGCAAACAGTAGCACCTGTAATGGCCAATAAAGAAGCAAAGGCAAATAGAGGAGTAACCTAAGCAATAAGTCACCTAAGGAATAAGTTGGCTGGCATTTAACTACACCAGGTTAGTCATATCTCCAAAAAGTAGATTGGAAATAGTAACAGACATTTCAGACTGTGGTTTTGTTATGCAGGGTTGTCAAATTGGTGGCCTGCAGGCCAGCTGTGGCCTGTGCAGGCCACGCCCACTCCAAGCTCTGCAAAGGGAAAAACATTGCAAAACGTCTTGTGACGGGCCGAGTTTGACACCCGTGTTATAGAGAATAAACAGCACTCCACTCAGAACCTCACTTCAGATGTGTTGGGATGTGTGCGTGCATGTGTGTGTGTAGGACTGAATTTCAAGGCCAAGTCAAAATATCTGAAGTTCAAAGTTCAGTCCCTTATGATTCACTAGCACTTGATTTTGGAGTTACTACGGTATTAAGCCCATGAACGTACATTAACATATTCTATGAGGGTCATGTCTTACATGGTTAAAACATCACATCCACATACATGCAGAAGAAGCATCACTAAGTTTGATTTACAGTTCGGGGGGGGGGGGATAAGATTTTTTTAAAAAACAGAATAATTCAATGGTTTTTTGAGCAAGTTGGTTGGCAGGAATATTAATTGGCGATTGGGATGCAGGGATTCAAATAATAAAAAAAAACTGGCTGGAGAAGAGAGTAAAAGAGAAAACATGGCTTATTAGCTGAATTACTCAACAAGAGCACATGCTACATCACTATGTTGCACTTCCCACTGGAGATATTTGCTCTTGACTATAATTTGCCCTGACAGACTTGTTTGGCTATTATGCCATCCAGGATGTTATTAGCTTCCCTGCCCTGGATTTTTTATTTTTAATTAGATTGGTGAGCCATTGCAGGAGGATATTTGTTTTGCTGTCTTTGTGTCTGTCAGGAGAAAGGTCTCAATAGTCTTCAGTTGATGGCCTGATGAAATCGACTAGAGAGAGGGAATGATAAAGGAAGAAATAATAAGAAAATATACTCTGGCCAGAACCATCATCACACTCTACCACTCAAGAGTCTGGTTTTCCCGCTGGAAATAGTATGATCAGAGAAGCATTTTACCTAAAGTCCCTGTGTTATTTAAAACCCTGCTGAAGTTCTAATTTGGAAGGGTGCCTACAAATAAAACAGGATCTCTTCTTCTGGAGACATTCCTCCACAGTGGGAGGAGAAGAATGGCCTGACCAGTCAGGCTGCAAGGAAGGAGGCAGGGCTACTGAACGCACAGAGCTCCATTTTCCTCTATGCAGTATAATGCAAGCATAGCCTTAATCATTTGATGGAAACCAGAGGTACTAGTCAGCGGGTTCTGATCAGTTCTGGAGAACTGGTAGTGGAAATTTTGAGTAGTTTGGAGAACCAGTAAATACCACTTCTGACTGGCCCCGCCCCCATCTATTCTCTGCCTCCCCCAGCTGATCGGGAGGAAATGGGGTTTTTGCATAACCTTCCCCTGGAGTGGGGTGGGAATGGAGATTTTACAGTATCCTTCCCCTGCCATGCCCACCAAGCCACACCCACCAAGTCACGCCACGCCCACAGAACTGGTAGTAAAAATTTTTGACTCCCGCCACTGTTGGAAACACATCTGAAATGAACTCTCTAGATGTGATTAACTATCCTGTCCCAGACAAAGACATAGTCAGATAGCATTATGCATGTGAGAAAGCCTCACACAACACCATGAATGCCATTGATGCTTCCCATTTATGCTCTGACAAATAAGCAACATTAGAAATGCAGAGGAATAGCAGATATATACTGTGCCAATTAACCTTCCCCCTCTTATGCTGGCCTAAAAAAGCTAGTGGATAATGGACAGGAGGAAAACAATATCCAGGTCGGGAGCTGGGATACCTCTATTTGAATATACAATAAATGTATTAATAATAGTGATAACAGCAATATAGCAAGCTCTATCACAATATTAAAGCAATAGTAACGAGCTAGAAACCTTTAAAAATGTTAACAAATAAAAATAGTAAAAATATTGTTAGCAATACTGTGGTACCATTTGAAATGTTG